TTTATTTTCTCTACTTTTTTTTTAGACAGGGTCTGACTCTGTAGCCCTGGCTGCCTGGAGCTCCCTAAGTAGACCATCCTGGCCTCAAGCTCACAGAAGTCTGCCTACATCTGCCTCCTGAGTACTAGGATTGAAGGTGTTTGCCACCATGCCCAGCCTATTTTCTTTCTTATAATTTCTGTATTTTCTAATAATTTCTGCTGAGTGTGATGGTGCATGCCTATAATCTTAGCACTTGAGAGGTAAAGGCAGGAGGATCAGGAATTCAGGGTCAACCTACAGAGAAGGTTGGAGGCCAGCCTGGCCTCCATTATCATGGATCCTGTCTCAAACAAAAAGATATTAAATAAATAAAAAGTAAAATTTTTGCTATCAACATTGATTACTTTTTGAAATGTAATTTTAAATTTATTTTTATTTTATGTGTATGGGTGTTTTGCCTGCATTATGTAAGTGCACCAGTGTCATGCAATGCCTATAGAGGCCAGAAGAGGGCATCAGATTCCCCTGGAAATGGAGTTACATATAGTTGCAAGCTGCCATGTGGCTGCTGGGGTTGGAACCGAGGTCCTCTAGAAGAATAGTCAGTGCTCTTAACCACTGAGCCATCATCTCTCCAGCCCAGCACTGATTACTTTTATAAAATATAAAATCTTTCATTTTTTTTCATTTCCTTTGTTGTGATAAAATATTCTGCCATAAAACAACTTAGGGAAGAAGACATTTATTTGACTTAAATTCAAGGTTACAATCCATTATTTTGAGGAAGTCAAGGTAAAAACTTAAAGCATACATCCACAGTCAAGAGCAGAGAGAGTAAATGCTTGGATCCCTGCTTATTTGCCTACTCTGCTAGCTTTCTCTCTCATACTGTTTGGGAGCCTCTGCCCCTGCTGGCAATAGGCTGGATTCTCCTATACCACTGAACCATCAAAGACGATCACCTCGCACAGATGTGTCCACTGGCCAATCTGATCTAGACAATTTCTCAATTGAGCCTTTCTTCTTTGATGACTCCAGACTGTGTCGAGTTAAGACTCAAAACTAAGGGAGCAATTCCAGCACTGGGGAGGCAGAGGCAGGTGGATCTCTGTGAGACCAAGTTCAGCTTGGTCTGCATAGCGATTTCTAGGCCAGCTGGGCTACAGGGAGATCTTCTCTCAAAAACAAACGAACAAACCAAAAAACAACAAAAAAGATAATAATAAATAAAACAAGCAAACAAACAAAACCCTCAAAAGCAGAAACAATAAACTAATTAGCTAAGTTTTTAGTAATAACTTATTTAAAACCAGACTCCTTGAGACCGGGGAGAGATGACTCAGTATGTAAGGGCACTTGCTGCATAAGCATGAGGAACTGAGCTTGGATCCCCAGCACCCACGTAAAAACAGGGCATGACCACGAACTCCTGTAATCTCAACACTGCAGAGATAGAGACAGGAGGATCCCAAGGATTTGCTGGCTAGCAGATCTAGCAAAACAAACTAACTAACTAACTAACTAACTAACTAACTAACTAACTAACTAACTAACTAAAACTCCAGCGAACTCTAGGTTCCATGAGAAACTATCTCAAGGGAATGAAACTGAGGCTAGAGCAGGAATAGAGCCGGACCCTCCACAGGTGTGTGCACACTTGCAAATACCCCCTCCCTTTAAAAAAAACCCACCAAACTTCTTATCTCCTCTACATAAGCCCCCCCCCAAAAAAAATTGAGGCAGGGTTTTGCTATCTATTCCAGGCTGGGCTTGAACTCACTGTGTAGTCCAGGTTGGCCTCAAACTCAGTCTTTTTGCCTCAGACTCTTGAGTGCTGGGATTTATTGGTTTGTGCTGCCCCACTAGGCTTTCTCTCCTTGGTGCTATCGATGCAAGCTCCCAGGCTTACACATTGTGGTTACCTTTGGTTGTTTCTCTTTTCCCCTGTCTAGTCATTCATTGAGTATTACCCCTTCTTTAAGACATCTCTCATACCTGCTCCCCTTTTGGTACTGAGGAATGGAATCCTGGGCTTCATGTGCTGATCAAATGCTGAGCTACTCTCCCAGACCCGGTTCCTTCCTTTTGAGTCTCAAGTTGGGTCAGGTTCACTTAACCAGCATTTTTTTTGACCAAAGAATATGGATATCATTCTACCAGTTCAACACTATTGGGGGCATCTCCTAATATATCTCCCTGACCATAGTTTCTTGTTCTTCCAGTCAAGTACCCTGCAGTACAAATACTGTATGTATCATGGCTTTCCCTGCTCAAAACACTCAAAATCCCCCAAGCCTCTTGCTCATGGAATGAGGCCTATGTTCCTCCTTTTGCTATTCAGGTTTCTTTGTAGTGCTGTGGGAGATAACGGTGGGCGCATGGCACATGCTAAATTGTTTGTTTTGAGACAGGGTCTCATGCACCCAAGGCTGGCCTGACCTTGAGGTTCTGATCTTTCTGCCTCTACCTCCTGAATACTGGGATTGTAGGTGTACTCCACCACAACCCATTTATGTGGTGGTGGGGTTTGAGCCTAGGGCTCTGTGCTGAACTATATCCTCTGAACCTCATGCTAGATGGTTTTTTCACATTGAAGTGATTCTTTAAGGTGAGGAGCTCTCCCCACTCCCTGCCACTGTCTTTAGTTTGAGAATTCCTTGGACTTCAGAGTACTTGAAGTTTCATAGTGCTGAATTTGGAGACAGGAAGAGATGATAAAATATGGCTCAGAAAACCTCAACTCTGAGTCTGTCCCAATTTTGAGGCCTGCTATGTAGGAGGATCCCTGGAGAGAGCATATTGGTTCTCCAGTCTCTTGCCTGCATTGCTGAGGGCTGAGAACCAACAGTGTGAAACTTACAGCTTACTTTCTGCTTTAAGAAAAAAGAAAGGGGAAAAAGAAAGGGGTAAGGTGAAAATAGAACAAAGCCCAGAGTGATGTGATCCCTTATGAAACTCTCCCATCTTCAGGTGTTCATAGAATACACCAGCCTGACTGGTGGTTGGCATATGACCATCTGTCAACTGTACTCTACTGGGAGTGTATGCAGAGAGATGTGTGTGAGGGGAATGAACTTGCCAAATGACAGTCACCGGGACTAGCTCTTGGAGGATCCAATGACACTGATGGGAGCAGTACCCCTACTAGCTGAGTGAAGAAACTGTCTGGGAGCCAGTTCTGACTGCATCAGTGGCTGAGAGTCTCCTCTATCATTACATCCCATCCTTTTCAGTGTGACACCTAGTCTAACAAGCCAGTCCAGTCAGCATAAGTGCTGCCTGCTGGCATAGTTGGGATGCTGGTACAGGCCTCCTGGCACTCACCATGCCCTTTCGGGTTGCTCTTGGCATCCTTCTGGTTATAGAAAGGCTGGTGCAGCCCTACCCCACAGAACCTCCACCTCTTTCCATAGCCCACTATTCTTGTGGAGTTCAGCTGCCTCCAGCTTCTTTTCCCCACCCAACCTTCTCCCTCCACTCCACCCTCCTCTGGGACCGTTGGCAGTTGACACATTCTTGAGTAAACTCCGGCTCTTTCTGTCCTTTCCCTTGGTTCCTTGGAAGCCTGCCTGAATTTGAGGCTCTCCCTGTTTTGTAAAATCATTAACTACAAGAAGCTTTGGACCTCGAGGACAAAGCAAAGACACTCTGCTTTCCAGGGCTGGGAATGACTTGGCTGATACCTGTGGAGTCAAGGGAACCACAGGAAACCTGGAGGCAGCTCCCTCCAAACTAAAGGGAGCCACAAGTGTTCCTACCATATGATGATGGGTCAGTTTGGGGTCCAAGGATAACCTCACAGTGCAGTGCTAAAGGCAGCTACTGTTTGAATGCGTTCCATATGCTAGGCAGTATGTTGTGTGCTGGACAAGTATTATTCTATACAATCTGCTCACTAGAGGCTGGAGAGATGTTTTGATGGTTAAGAGCACTGTCTGCTCTTACAAAGGACCCAGGTTCAATTCTCAGCACCCACATGGCAGCTAACAACCATCTGTAACTCCAGTTCTAGGGCAATCTGATACCCTCTTATGACCTCCATGGGCACATGGGTGCACTTACACACATGCAAGCATTACACTCATACACAAAAAGTAAAATCAATAAATAAAATATTTTTAAAACCATCTGCACACTAACTACTAGCTCCCGATTTTATGATGGGGAAGCTGAAACGTTATATAACTTGTCAGAGGTCACCCTGTGGAGGTGGGACTCTGACTCAGACTTGTCTGATTCCAAAGGCTGTCCTTAATTTTTTACATTTATTTATTTATTTAGTGTGTGTGTGTGTGTGTGTGTGTGTGTGTGTGTTCAGTGGGGGGGGGGATGCACCACATATGTGGGGGTCAGAGGATACCTTGTGGGAGCTGATTCTCCCTTACCATGTGGGTTCCAAGAATGGAACTCAGGTCATCAGGCTTGGCGGTAGGCACCTTAACCCACTGAGCCATCTCACTCATCCAAATCTGCACTCTTAACCTCTCTGCTGTGCCACCTTTATAGGTCTCCAAAGTGACCTAGAGAGAAGAGTCACTGCTTTTTAAGGGCTTTGGAATATTTATTGAACATGTATACATATACTAAGCTCATTAAGGGTGTTAATAAACAGATTTGAATCCTCTTGTCACCTCTAAAATGCATCCTATTTCCTCATATATCAGATGCAGAAGGAAACTGTATCTTAGAGTTATTACCCAGCCTCTAAATGATACTAAATTTGTAGTGTCCAGTGCCAGTCTCGTAAACCTCCCATGCAGTTTGTTCTGTCTGAACTACAGTAGTGATCGGTACTGAACCTGTAGGTTACCTGTACCCATCCTTGGAAATGATTTCTAAGCTGATAGGCCATTTTGCTTGGAAGTGGTATGTGACTGAGGGGAAGAGATGATATACTGGGCCTTGGTGGGTGTGACTTCCCCTACCCAGCACAGGAGCATGTGGATGGAGTATGGAGAGCCATCAAATGGCTTTTAACTCATTGTCATTTTTCTCCCCTCCTTTCTTTCCCAAATTAGGGTGAAGGTTGCCGAACTGTCCCCCTGGCTGGACATGTGGGGTTTGACAGCTTGCCTGACCAGCTGGTGAATAAGTCAGTCAGCCAGGGCTTCTGCTTCAACATCCTGTGCGTGGGTGAGTATTTCCATAGCAGGAAATTCTATTACAGAATATAGATCCTTAATGGCTAGATGTGGCTTTGCAGGTAATTAGGTTAAATAATGTCTCATTCTCATCTAGTTGCAGGCGTGCCCCCCACCTCATTCTTCACTTACCCCTCTGTTTATTTTTGTAAGCATCCAGCTGCAATTACTTTTTCCTCTGCCCAGACCAGAATCTGGGGCCATACCTTGGGGAAAACAGAGCTTTGTGAGACTCAGTGGAAAATTTTGGAAAGGGGGCTGGCTGACTCAATTACTGCTGTCAGGTTCATTTTGACTGGAGAAGATGAGAACCAGGACAGAATTAAGAGAGAGGTGATGGTTGAGGAAAGAAAGATGCCTGCCCCCCAGCTGTGGGCAGTGGGCTAGGTCTGCTGATTCCCTCTACAGCTTGGTTAGGCTTGATACACTTAGTTGGCGCTTATTTGTGGGGATCACACAGCTGTGTGCAAAGGTCTACCTGTATCTCTGCCTGGGCTTTATTTTATTTTATCTTACCTTATTTTGAGACAGAGTCTCACTCTGTGGACTAGGCTGGCATGGAGCACACCAAGTATCTGAGATTAACCTTGATTCTCCTACTTCAGCTTCCCGAGTGCTGAGATTATGGGCATGTACCAGCACACCTAGCCAGGGAGGCACATTTTAGCCCCTTTTATGTGCTAATATCAAAGCACAAAAAGAGTTCCATAGTGTTCCTGAAATGAATGAATGACTTAAGCCCACAGGAGTCGCTCACTTTACTTCTCAGCAGTTTCTCACTTAGTTGCTTTGGTCTTCTGTCTGCAAAGTGAGCACTAAGAGTAGGTATTCCTATCCTGGTGAGACCCAGAGAATGCAGGAGGACAAGGAATCTACCAGAGGCAACATGGAAAAAGAGGCAGAGCCAGAAGAAGGATCCAGGCCTGGCTGACCCCTTGTCCCTCCCACTGCCTCTGACTGCTGCCAGCAACATCTCCTGAGACCATGAAAGTACTTTGGAAAGCATTGAGTACCAATCAAACAAACGTGAGGGACAGCAGTACCTTGACGTTATGAAGGTCTTCTGAGACCTTAAAAATTCCAAATTTACAAATATAATCATAGTATATAATTTGCACCCCACAGTGCAGGAAAACATACCCGCATATTTCCAGTGACTTCTTTATGAACTTTAACGGTTATATAAGCACCATAATAAAGCCAATTTTCACACTGACTGGAACACTCAAATACTTCTGCTAATTGCCTTTTCTTATTTTTGTGTCAAAATATGTGGAGAACTCATTCACATTGTAGATTTGAACTATCACTCAATTGGATACTTTACTATTTAATGTAATCAAAAATTATTTTTCTGGGGCTGGAGAAATGGCTCAGAGTTTAAGAGCGCTTGCTCTTGCAGAGGACCCTAGTTTGGTCCCCAGCACCTGCATGGTGGCTCACAACCATCTCTAACTCCAGCGCTAGGGAATCTGATGCTCTCTTCTGACCTCTGCAAGCACCCGGCATGCATGTGGTGCACATACACACATACAGGCAAACGAGTCTTTTTTTAAGAATTTATTTTTCTGGGTGTGGTGGTATAGGTCTGTAATCTCAGCACTGAGGAGGTTGTGACAGGAGGATTAAGAGTTTGAGAGGAGCCTAGGTTATATATTGAGACCCTGACTCAAAATAAATAAGTAAATAAATAATCTTACTTATTGCTTTAAAAAAGTTCTTCAAGTCTTTCATTTTCTTGGGCTTTAGTTTCTTCTCTTCTATCTCCAGTACTCTTTGCCAGGTCATTTTCTATAAGGGATTCACTGTACACTCAAGGACAAACAGAAAGCAACAAAGCCACTTCTAAATATGGATGATAGGTGGTCAGCTAGGCTCACTCACTAGTTGAAGGGACTCATTCCCATATATCAGCTCTGGAGCCTATGAGACCAAAATCTGTGCTTCATGGAATTACACCCCAGGGGCCTTAGAGCCCACATGGAGGCTGCCAAATCTTCGAATGCTGAAAGTCTAACTCACAGTCATGTTTAGGTGCTAATTAGGACAAAGATATAAAATACCTAGAAGACACGGTGATGAACATCAAGCGCAAATACCATCACATCTAATATTGATACCACCAAATCTCTGTTTAACTAACAAAACCAACCTTTGGCTAATGGCCATCTTATTTCACACGTTTGATTACTAAAATATTCCAGCACATGCACATACCAGATTCCCTTGGCATTTCTCCCAGAGCTCCTTATGACCTGTGCTGACGTTGAGATTAGAAGCGAAATGACAAGGCCACACTATGCAACCTTTCAACCTAGTATAATTGACTAGGCTAGAAAAGCTTTAGGAGGGGCCCTGTGAATCAGAATGGCATTCTGATGGTGAAGTGTAGGGGAATTTGACATGTGGACCATAAGCTTCCCTGGGGCCCCCGAAGATGAGGCAGCAAAAGTCAAGAAAAGGTGAGTGGGAGAAATAGTCAACCCATGTTCTTTACTTCCCACCCAGGCATTGCTCAGCTATAGCTGATTGAGCGTGCACTTGCTGAAATGGCGTTCTGAAGGGGCTGGGACAATCTCTCTCAGAGGGAAGGGAAGGAAAGAGACTCTTTGATCCACAAGGAGTCACTTCTCTCTTCCTACTTGTCAAGTTTCAGGGAATGATTAGACTACTAGCTTTCCCCCTATGCCTGCACATAGGACTATTGGGTGGACCAGTCTAGACTGGGCTAATTTCATTCCCTGTACTGGATCCAAAAACACCTACAGTTCATGCATCTTAATCTGTTGTTGTACTCATAACCTTGCCATTGCTCAGAGAGCCCTTGGCTTGGGTCAAGATCACAAGCAGTTTAGAGTGGCTCTGAGACTGCAATCTCAGCCCAGCCATAGCCCTACATCTTGTCACTGACTTGGCAGTGTCCACAGCAGGGTTGCTGAAGGTGATCTTGAGGACCGTATTTTCCTGCCTAAGAACTGTGTGTAACTGTCAGATTTACTTCCTTAATGATTGTAATGGTTCTGTCTGTTCATAGAAATTGTTCCTCCAAAGTAGTTTTCAGTATACAATGATGGCACTGATAACCTTGGTTAGTAACTGAAAGCTAGGATTTTTTTCACATTATTGTTTATTTTGGTGTTGGCCTGCTGCCCTTATGTCCATACCTAGCAGAGTAAGTATTCTACATATATGTGTACATATGTGCATGTGTGTTTATTGAAACTGAGAGGGGGAGAAGAGAATTTTTATGAATTGAGAGCCTAATTTATAGTCAGAATACCAATAAACGCCACCCATGGTTGCTACTACTTTTAGCTAAGCACATAAGCATAAGCATATTATGACTTCTGCCTGATAGAGTCTCTAGGGTTGACAATAATTGCTGAGTGGGGTGAAATCCCGCCCCCCCAAGAAAAAGTCATATACCAGACCTTCAGCTTTGGAAATTTTGAGGATCATGTGATTATAGACATCATATAGGAAGCCTTAGAAGAACCACCTGAGCCAGCAGGACAAATATTCTGGGGTCCAGTGCTTTGCAGTGCCGGGAAAGAGCCCCAAAGAGACTCACCAATCCAAACATGCCAGCAGCCCTCATGGCGGTCTGGAGCACAAAGGCTCATAATAATAATATTTACTTTGAAGCTGCTCAGGATTCCAGGCTCAACTGGGCTGTGTTGAACTTGGAAAACACACTCAGGAGAAGCAGGATTGAGGCTTACGGCAAGAGGGATGGAAAGAGCAGCTAGCATTCTATCAAGGTCAGGGGCCAATTGTTTTTAATCCCTCTGTTTCTGGGAAAGGCAGCTGCTCACATGGGGCTGCCGGCAGTGATCAATATCTGACAGGGCACCATGGGAGAAAATGGGCCATGGTTCATGGCATCCACTGATTTCTGTGGTGTCATTACTCTGGAGCACCATAGCTGATTTTAAGCTACTGACATGACATCACTGCACACCGGGCTTGGGAAGAGGTGCAGGAAGCCACATGAGCTGGCTGGAGCACACTGCGGTCTGCCAGGCCCCTGAAAGAAGAGGAAAGAGAAAAGAGCAAGGTCACACAGACAGGCATGACCTTGTCCTGTCCATAGGCTTCCTTGGCCAACTGCAGTTCCTGGAGCGCTTCCTTTTGGACACCTTCCTGTTGAACTCAAAGGCATTTTCTCTTGGCTTATTCCAATATTTAGAGCCGAATGAGACTTACCTCCATGAGAACAGGAACTGTGTCTATCTTGCTTGTTACTGTAGCTTAAGCTTCTCTAACTGTGTCTGGCTATTATTAGAGGCTTTGTAAATGCTTGTTGAATGACTACATGAATGGCCATTTAATGCCCATGGACCTCACTAGAGTGTATCTGTTAAAAGCAAGGGCTCCAGAGGTAGTATCCCTTCATACAAATGCTGGCTCTGCCACTTCTTAGTTTGTAACCTTAGCCTGTCACTTCCTCCACAGTGTATACATAAGGAAAATCAAGTACAGAGAGGAGAAGGAATTTGCAAATTCACATAGCTAGTGAGTGGCTTGGTTAACCTAACTATAAATTGAGGGCAAACTGCAGTATCTAGGGGTTGCCTGGGTTGTAGCACAGGAGTAGAGCTCTTGCTTAATCTGCTTGAGGCCCTCGGCTCCATCCCTACCATTAAAAAAATTAAAAAAAAAAATTGTAGTGTCTACCTTATAAGCTTGTTGTGAGAAATAAATAGGAAAATATCTGGAGGCTGAGGGTGTGGCTTAGTGGTCAAGTGCTTGTCTCACATGTGTGAGGCCCTGGGTTCCATCCCCAGCACTACAAAAGAGAAAAGAAAATATGTGTATTCACAGCAGTGGCAGAGTATATAAACACACTATAGGCAACCACTATTGGTACATACCTTGTAGTCCTAGCACTTGGGAGGCTGAGACAGGAGAATTGTGAGTTCAAGATCCTCTTTCAAAACCAGAACCAAATGGGATGGAGCATGCCTTTAATCCCACCCAGCACTCAGGAGGCAGACATATGCAGATCTCTGAGTTTGAGGCCAACCTGGGCTACACAGTGAGTTCCAAGTCAGCCAGCGCTACATAATGAGATCCTGTCTCAGAAAGAAAACAAAACAAAACAAAAATCAATCGCTATTGTCACTGCAAACTTTTCCTTTTATGGGTAAAGAGACTAGACTTAGGTTGGGAACAATGCTCAGCTCAAGTCACATAGTAATACAGTGGTAATTGTGTAGGACTTGTCATTTCATATCTTGCAAGGATTTAATTGCCCAAGGTGCTACAGGATGCAGATATTGACAGCAACTGAGGAAAATGACTAAACTTTTCTTTATCAGAGTGGCTTTTAGCTCAGAGTCGGGAGGCCAACTGTCCCAGGATCTATAGTTTGAAAAAGAAAAATTCATGTAATATTTTTTAAAAATAGACTTTTTTAAACGATTTTTTGTAGTACACTACTAACATTAAGCAAATTGAGAGGTGGAACATGAATTTAAAAGAGTTAAGAAGCCCTGCTGTTCACTGTGACATACAATGGGAGGGCTGGAGAGAAGGAGGCGGAAATTGAGCCCCTGGGACTCCTTGAGTTTCCAGCTAGAATCCATTTGCCAAGTTCCACCTTCCTACTGGGGTGTGGTGGAATCTGCTGACCTGATCCCAGTTAGACCATGTGTCATGGCTCCATACACATTTAATATTGGGTCCAAGGCGGCTATGGGAGGAGCCAGAATCCTAGTGTCAGGCTGAGTCTGTGCCAGCCATTAAGAGAGTGCCCCCCTCCATCCCCAGGTTCCACTGTGATGGCAGCTGGGAACAGGAAAACTCCGTAGACACTGGAGGAGCTGACTTGATTTTCTGCCTTCTTCTAATACTGCATTTATTGCAACTACCTAGACATAGCAAGTTCTTTTCTTCCAGACCTTCATTATTTAACATCTAATTGCCACAGCTCTTCTGTGCTGGCAGGCATCTGGGTGGTCATTTTCCCTGCTGTTTCTCCCTGCTGCTTGCCCTGCCTTACCCAGCCCCCATTTCTCCAGCTGTGCAAACAGGGTGGGTCTCTGGCTCTGCATTGCTGCTCCTGAGGCCTTGTCTGTGAGGCTTTCTCCAGGCACACTCAGGCATACAGAAGCAGCAAGCCCATTCTAGGGTGCTGGGGACGTAGGGGCCCACCACTCTCTGAGCAGCAGGGATATTCAGTAAGGAGGTCAAGGGAAAAAGAGTGGTGAGGCTGGGGACAAAAATGGAAAAATCCATTAGACATACAAAAACTAGCCAAAATAAAACTGAAGCATTGGTGTCCAGAGAGAAAGTGAGTTACGGAGGCAGCCATTCTTGTGTTCCCACCTCAGAGATTCTGGCCCCATTTGCAGGTGAGCTGTACTCCTGCCTTGGGCAGGGTGGTGGGTGATATATTCTGCTGCATGCCTGGGTCTGTTACCTCCCATGGCAAAGACCCCATCTCGCCAGATTTTTCTTGAGACCCAAACACATCCTTAAAGGGAGGAAAAAAGAGGGCCTCTTCTTGAACAATCTTTGCACCTAATGGATGTAGCAGACCCTGGATGGAAACACGATCTGTGTGAGGAACCCTTTTTGTACACCCTGGCAGTCTACCACATTAGTCAGGCCTGGCTATGAAATTAGGCTGGGACCCTGGTAACCAGGCCAAATTGAATTCTCTCTCTCTCTCTCTCTCTCTCTCTCTCTCTCTCTCTCTCTCTCTCTCTTCCTCTCTCAAGAAGACTCCCATCATAAGATATTTTTATAGGTCACCATTTAGGATAAAAGAAGCTTGGAATATTTGGAAGATGTGATGGTACACACACACTAAGAAGGTGGAGAGAGAGGGAATATTTTTGGTTTCTCATGCAGCCCTATCCCAAGCCCTGTACTGCCTTGCAAATGTGTGCTGCTGGACTCAAGGGGAAATTTAGCAGGCCAGGAATTGCCCAGTGCAAACCCAATCCCAACCATGAAGATAAGTCAAAGTTCAGACAAACTCCCCTTGGTTGGAGAGGGGTAGGAAGAAGAGGGAAAGTAGTGGGGTAATCAACGGTCAGCTCAGGGTCATTAACTACTGGCTCTTTTTGTTTGGTTGGTTTTTGGAGATAGAGTCTCATGTAGACTAAGCTGGCCTCAAACTCGGTCTTAGCAGAGGATGATCTTGAACTTCTGATTCTTCCGCCTCCATCTCCTGAGTGCTAGGGTTACATGTGTGTGCCATCCTTGGTTTCTTCAGTGCTGGGCATCAAACACAGGGATTCTTGCATGCTAGGCAAACAACACTAGCTACATCCTCAGCTCAGCTATTGACTTTCAGTCCTGATATTTCTGAATCACTTGGGGTGAGGTAAGGAGCCAAATACAGTCTAGATCCATAGATTCTAAGTGGTTTTAGTGCCTAGCCCAGCTGTGGCTTCATATCAGATTCCTGTCTAACTTACCATGTCATCAATTTCCCTCCAATGTATATCTGTGATGTCTCACTCTCTAAAGACTCCTTTACTTTAGGCAGTGGTTTGGTATCCCATGGTCTCCTAGGAATAACCTCCTCAAACCCTCATCAATCTACCAAAGCCCTTCCCCCATTTAACCCCCTCATGTGAAATTCTAGTGGTTGGATTTGTTAGTGTCCCACACCCTGTAAGTTAAGCAAACAAATGACTGGTTTGTTTGAAATTTCAGAAGAATAATTTGTGGTTTGTTAGGTCCCTCCTCATTAGCTAAAAATGGTCTCACCAAAAGCTCACCCAGTCTGGGAGAAGCCAAAGGTAGATGTAGTTTCTCCACTGAGAGACATGTCTGTGATGCCATGGAGTAGAGCACTGTCTGGGTCTGGCAGGGAGCTGAGGCAGGGGCCAGGAAGAGAGGGTGTTTGTTTGACAAGGGGTCACTGATGCTTTCTTATTTATTAATTATTATTTTATTTGGTTTGTTTGTGCACAAGCATTGAGTGTGTGTGTGTGTGTGTGTGTGTGTGTGTGTGTGTGTGTGTGTGACCAAGTACATGTGGAGGTCAGAGGACAACTCCCTTGGGAGCCAGTTCTCTCCTTCCACTGTAAGTTTTGGGAACTGAACTCAGGATGCCAGGTTTGTGTGCCAAGTGATTCTATTCACTAATGCATCTTGCTGGCCTTAGTGGTTTGTTTTCTGTTTGTTTTTTGGTCTTTTTGAGACAGGGTCTTCCTGTAGCCCCAGCTGGCCTGGAACTCGCTATGTAGACCAGGCTGGCCTTGAACACAGAGATCTGCCTGCCTCTGCCTCCCTAGTGTGCCACCATGCCCTGCTGGCCTTAGTTTTTAAAAAAAATATTTTATTATGCCAGGCGTGGTGGCACATGCCTTTAGTCACAGCACTCGGGAGGCAGAGGCATGCAAATCTCTGTGAGTTCAAGGCCAGCTTGGTCTACATAGTGAGTTCCAGGCCAGCTGGGGCTACAGGGAAACCCTGTCTCAAAAAGACCAAAAAATTTTTTTACTACTTTTATGTGTATGAGTGTATTACCTGAATGTATGTAAGTGTACCCATGTTGTGCACTGCCAGAGGGTGTCAGAAGAGGGCATCGGATCCCCCTGGAACTGAAGCCATGATGTATATTAGCTGCCATGTGGGTGCTGGGAACTAAACCGGGGTCCTCTGCAAGAGTAGCCAATGCTCTTCTTAATTGCTGAGCCATCTCTCCAGCCCCAGGCCCTCGTTTTTTGTTTTTTTCTTTAATTAAAATAAATCATGTGTAGTGGAAAATGACTATAATCCCACTGCTTGGGAGGTGGAAGCAAGATGATCAGCAAGGAGTTCATGACCATCCTTGGCTACACAGGGAGTTCAAGGCCAGCCTGGGCTGTATGAGACTGTCTCAAAACAAACAAACAAACAAACAAACAAACAAACAAACAAACAGGGCCTGGAGAAATGGCTCAGCAGTAAAGAACACTGACTGTTCTTGCAGAAAACCCAGGTTTGAAACCCAGCACCAACATGGCAGCTAACAACTGTCCGTAACTCCAGTTCCAGGGGATCTAACAGCCTCTTCTGTCCTCCGTGGGCATTGCATGACACGGATGCATTTACCTACATGCAGGCAATACAAGCATACACATAAAATAAAAATAATAAATTTAAAAAAATAAAAAAACAAAACAAAGCATACAAAAACAGAACAAACAAGCTCAACAACAAAATTAAAATAAACCCTTAATTTTTGCTGCACAAAAACAAATACTATACATGTTCCACTGAGAAAAACTTGGGAAATGCAGAAAAGCATAAAGCAAAAAAATGAAAACTACATAGAAGCCTACCACCCAGAGATAAGTATTAATGAGAGTATATTTCTCTATTGTCTTTTTCTATACATAATTATATTCCTTTATCTGTGCCTATAACATTTGTTTTTGTGACCTAAAAGCAATATATACTTAAGGTAGAGCTTTCAATAACCGAAAAAAAAATATGAAGAATAAAATGGAAATTAGCCCAGTTCTAGTACTGGGGGCTATCTGCTGCTGGTATGTCAATATTTTCCTTTGGGCCTTTTTCATGTACTTGTGTGTGATTTTTCACTTAGAGTTTTAGCATGTACACTTCCCCCTGAACACATACGTGAACAATGATGTGTCATGGCTGTATATAGTCAGTGTGTGATATCTTTTTGCTTTTCAGGAGAGACAGGTTTGGGCAAGTCCACCCTCATGGATACCTTGTTCAACACCAAGTTCGAGGGGGAGCCAGCCACCCACACGCAGCCTGGTGTCCAGCTCCAATCTAACACTTATGATCTCCAAGAGAGCAACGTGGGGCTGAAGCTCACAATTGTTAGCACTGTGGGCTTTGGAGACCAGATCAACAAGGAGGACAGGTAAAGAAGACAGTGGGGTGGGAAGATGGGTGGAGGAACCACAGGAAGGAGCTCATCATGGGGGTCTTGGGGACAGTACAGATGCAAGGTCCCAGCCTGTCTCTCCAGAATGATACAGGCAGGCAGCTTCTTTCTAAGCATGGTGTCTGTGCAGGATCCCTGCCTACATAAACTGTCACTCCTTACACTTTACCAAAAGAAGTGGTTTCCAATGTACACAAGTGGAGGCTCAATTCCATTCAACCTTGTGCCAGGCCCTCCTATGCTCTGACAATCTGAACAGGAATGACTTAGTCTCTGCCCTTGAGGTACTCATGGGCAAGACCTGTTTTAAGCAAATAATTTCCATAGAGACGAGTATGTTCTATGAAGGACAGAGTACAGAGGCAAAGGACAAGTTGCAGTGAGCCCACAAGGGCAAGAACAGTCAACTGTATGCAAAGATGTCAGAGAGGCTTTCCCAGGGGAGCCTCTAAACGTACTCTGGTGGATGAGCTGTTAGACAGACAGACAGGTGGAGAGAAGGGAAATCCAGGAAGAGATACCAGCTTGTACAAAGGCAAAGCAATGCAGAGAACTCTAGTATGTTCTAGGGAACTGCAGTTCACTGTGTTTAGGTAGAGAGGCAGACTTCCAGAGAAACCGATGGGGTCCTCATGTGCATAAGCCCCTTCCAAGGCCCTGTGACTAACTTTTCATTATAATGTAGTATTATTCTTGGGCTGTTCTTTGAATTTTATCAGTATGAGCCCCCATAAAACCTAAGACTGTGGCGCCTGGGCTAGCAGTTGAAATGAGCTAGGGGAAAGTAACAGGAGGTAAATGGAAGCCAGACCCTGGAGGGGCTTGTACAATATACAAATTTGGAGTCCTTCAATAGTTTTAGGAAGCAGAATATAGTTTGGCCTTTGAGAAGAGTCCTTTGGGCTAGAATGGAAATATACTGGATAAGCATGAAGACCAACCAGGACATGATTAAACCAATAAAATTGAGGCAAGAGATAAATAGTTGCTGAGATAGAGATGAGGAGATTGGGTAGATGAAACTGACAAAACATGGTAGAGACTTGATATGGGGTTTGGAGGCAAAAAACAAAAAAAAAAAGAATCAAGAACGGTGTCTGAATTTCTGGCATCAGAGAGTGGATCAGTGGTGGTGGCCTTCCATAAGAGAGAATACAAGGAAATCAGGTTTCAAAATACCAAAAAACAAGACATTCTGAGTTTGAGCTGTGTGTGGAATATCCAGACATACCGTGAGCTTCAGCAGTAAGCAGCTGACTATACAGAGTTGCAAGTCTAAAGGTCTAGGCTAGAAATATAGGTTTGTTTTATCTTGGTGTAAATGACATGTTCTGACCATGTACACGTGTAACATCACCCAGAAAACTGAGAGCGAAGGATGTCGGGCCAAAGACAGAAGCCTCAGGATGTCAATGAAGTCAGCAGACAGAGAATACTTGAAAAGGGACTGAGAAAGACCAAGCAGAGAGGAGGAAGGAGAGACAGAGAGGTTGGGGGGGTTAAGAATGTGTGTGAGGGGTGAATGTGGCTGTGAGATGAGGATGTAATGAAGGCCAACGTAGGGAAGTAGATGCTGTTTGGGCAACCTCTCAGAAAGGGCCATTCGGCATTCTTTTTTTTTTTTTTAAAGTGTGTGTGTGTGTGTGTGTGTGTGTGTGTGTGTACACACTCATGCTACAGCATAAATGTGGAGGTCAGAAGACAACTTTGGGAAGTCAGTTCTGTCCTTCTACCATGTAGGTCCTAGAAACTGAACTCAGGTCGTCAGGCTTGGTGGTAAGTGCCTCAAGTCACTGAGCCATCTTGCCAGGCTCCACCTCCTTTTATAGTACCACTTTTGTGCTAATCTTGTTTGGTTGAGAATCCGTTAGACCCTACTCACCATCATCTAAGTAGTTAGGCCACAATCTGTGTGCTTAATCGAGCTGCAATTTTTTTTTATTTTAGGAACTCTTCAATTAAATTTCTCTCAGTTATATACATTCAACATATCTAACATTTGACAATGTTTTCATCTGACAGCTTGGGAAGACTGAACACTACTGCTTAGACACTAATGTCCTTCTGTTATATTTCTAAGGTATTCTTAGTACTTTTTCATGTTTATAAATGGTAGTTAGACATGGTGGTATGAGCCTGTAATCCTAGTACTTGGGAGGCTGAGGCAGGAAAATTGAGAGTTCTAGGCTTTTCTGGGCAACATAACAAGAACTCCAGTCCAGCCAAAGGCTACAGAGTGAGACTGTGTCAAAAAGGGAGTAAAAGGGTCTGGAGAGATGCCTGAGTGCTTAAGACCACTGGCTGCTCTTGCAGAAGATGCAGGTTCGGTTCCCAGTGCCTACATGATAGCTTACCATTCCTTGCAGAAATCCAGTTTCAGGGGATCTGACGCCCTCTTCTGGCTTCCCTGGGCATTTCAAAACATGGCTGCACTTCTATACATTCAGCAAAACACTCATATCCATAAAATAAAAATAAGTAAAAAAAAATTAAAAAAAAAGAAATGCTGAGTCCATGCCTGGTCCAGAATAACTACCTAATAAATAGAAGGTATTAATATCATAATGATTTTTATTGAGACTAATCAAAGGAGAGTTGTATTACATAACATGTGGGAGGAAATGACAAATCATGTCCAAGAAAATGAGAATTTAAAAAAATTCTTTGGGAATTCAGCATGAGAGTCACCAATATAGTTAGGACTGGTCATTCCCAGGGGAACCATGGGTAGAAGCTAGATTGCCATTTTTACTTCAAGAATAGTAGGTAGAGACAGACAGAGAGGCATTGGAGTAGCAAAACAAAATAAAATAAAAAGCAATAGAACAGAAAGTAAGTCCAAGATCAGATTCATGTGTTCATGGAAATTTAGCATATATAAGTTGGCAAGGAAAGAATGGACTGTTCGAGAAGTGATGATGGGAAAATAGGCCATTCCTTTAGGAAGAAAAGCAAAATGAGACCCTCTCACATAAACATGGCTCACAAAAATAGATTCCCGTTGGACTGAAAACAAATTCTAAAAATATAAGGAGAAAATGTCGGAGAATATTTTTATAACTTTGGGGGTAGAGAAGGCTTTTTGATTTGTGAAACAAAATCCAAAAATCATGGAAGAAAAGATTTAAACAGGTTCAAATTCATTAAATTAAAAGTAGTTTTGTGCCTCATAATAGGCCATAAAGGAAAAGTTAAAACACACTTCAGGTGAAGCAAAAAATATTTGCAACCTTTATAGTAGACAAAAGATTTTAAAATGTGAAAACAGGTTCTGTAATTCCATGAAAGGTAAACAGGTAATTGACTGGAAAGAGAAATACAAATGGACAATCAACATATGAAATGAAGCTCATTCAAACTTCCCAGCAATTAGGCAATTGCCAAAAGAAACAATGATTTTTTCCCATTAGATTTGCAAAAATAAATGATGATATAATATCCAGTACCAGGAGGACATTTCACTCCTATTGGTTGGGAGTATAAAATGATATAGAATTTTTGGAGGGTCAATTTGACAACAGCCACTGAAATTTTAAATATGACTAATTTACAACCCCACAATTTCACATCTGGCCATTGACTAGAGATGTACATGTCTGTAAGAAACAATGAATGTTGTTCACTGCAAAATTGGTTATTGAATTTAAATTATTTATTTATTCATTTATTTTTATTTTATGTATATGAATGCTTTGCCTGCTTGTATGTAAGCGTACCTGTGTCTTACAATGCCCTTAGAGGCCAGAAGAAGGCATCAGATCCCCTGGAACTGGAGTTAAGGATGTTTGTTAGCTACCATGTGGGTTCTGGGAACTGAACCCAGGTCCCGTGGAACAGCAGCCAGTGCTCTTAACTGCTGAGCCATCTCTCCAGCCCCTGGTTATTAAATTTAATAACTGTAAACTGTCTACATGTCTATCAGCAGAACAGTTGAATTAACTGCAATGCAACCATACCATGGGACTGTATTCGGAGGTTGGTGGTAGAGCCACATATATTCACATGGATACAGCATCAGGTCATGTTGTTCCAAGAAGAAAAGAAGTTGTAATGATACACAGATCACATGATGCCATTTGTGAACACAACCCCCCGCCCAACAAACAATTCTATTTCTGTATGAAAATACATAGGAAAGGTCTGGAAGGATAATCAGCAGACTGAAAACAGTGATTACCTCTGAGGCAGGGAGAATGTGTAGATGGATTGTATAATTAAAAGGAAATTAAAAGGATGATGTTTTAAAAGAGGAAATGGATAAAGTACGTGTAGACTGCTGTTTTCAAAAGCCTGTCTGAGTTGGAGGGAAAGAGATAAGGCAGAATGTAGAGGGAGATAAGAAGGGGAGAGGCAGCTCTAGAGGATGGAAGACACGATGAAGGCTTAAACAGCAGAAACCTAGGGTAGAGAGAGGGGGGCAGATTTGAGAGAGGATCCATGAAACTCAATAACCAAGTGGATACAGAGGATCCAGTTCAGTTTATCAACTTTTCTTCCTTCCTTCCTTCCTTCCTTCCTTCCTTCCTTCCTTCCTTCCTTCCTTCCTTCCTTCCTTCCTTCCTTTCTTTCTCTCTCTTTCTTTCTCTCTTTCTCTCTTTCTTTCTTTCTTTCTTTCTTTCTTTCTTTCTTTCTTCTTTCTTTCTTGTGTGCCTGTGTGTATGTGTGTATGTTTGGGCATGTGTGTGCCATGGCATATGTGTGGAGGTCAGAGAATAACCTGTGGGAGTCTATTCTCTCCTTCCACCATGTGGGTCCCAGGGATTGGGGATCAAACTCAGGTCCTCAGACTTGGCCTCTATCCTCTAAACCATCTTGCTGGTCCAATACTAAGAAATAAAGCACAGTATTTCCTTAAGGAGCTTTTGGCTTAGTGGAGGGAATGAATATATATGTCAATTCTGCATAATTGCATTAACTACAGTGGCTGAAATATGTGAGGAGCAAGGACAGCAAAGACAGCAATTGTCCAAGCCTGG